TCATCGAAATATGGACCATGGAAAATGTAAAAAAAATATTTAGTTCAAATTTTTACCACTAGGTGAAAAAATGGCACATGAACAAGAAACATGCAAAAGGTTTTTATTCACAACATTTGTTCAATGTGCAATCCATTTGCATTGTAAGGTGTTTTGAACATGTAACTGATGCAAATGGATTATATATAATACTAGCTGCAAGGACCCGCTTCGCTGGGTTTTTATTTGTATGTAATATAGTTTTTTATATATATATAAAAGGCTGTTTTCTAAGTAATCTAGAATCTAGCTGCAAGGACCTGCTTCGCTGGGTTTTAAGTTTTATGTAATATAGTTTTTTTATATATATAAAAGGCTGTTTTTCTAAGTAATNTCATTTAACAGTTGCTATTTATAACATTTTAAATTAAATGCTTGTAAATAATAATTAAGAAGTAATTATGTAAAACTGTTTATAATTTACACACTTTTTCGACATTCAGTACAGTATAAAAGAGAAATTTGTGAAGGAATGTTCCAGTATAGAATTTGCTGGAGCAAGGACTGTTTACGATGCAGGATGAATGTTTCGAACTCTGAGTGTAAACATTTAGTTCCTGACAGCCTTAATCTTTTCAATGTAGTTATCATATTTTGTTACATAATACCCATTAATTATTGTATAACTTTCATACACACTGTCGTGCTTTTCTCAACACGCGGAAAATTTGTCTTGCATAATATAACAATTCTTTTCTATATGAAACAGCGCATGTATACTTAATCTTTATCTCCTAATTGTAAACTTATAACATATATACCAATCTCTCATTGTAATACTTTATGCTATAATGCATATTACTCTTTGTAAATGTAACTATAACATTTGCAATACCAAAAACATCTGTAAACTGGCTCTGCTTACTGCGGAACCAGTCATGTAACCAGTCTTTTGTTTGATATTTTTCTATTATGTAATTGTTTATTAATAAGATTTGACCACTCTTAACTAGAGTTGTTGGCCCTGAAAAGGGCCTTTTTAATATTTATAATAAATACATTTATTTATTTTCTGATAATTTTAGTTCTTGCAGAAGTTTCAACTTTTTTAACTGTAATAACCTTACGTTAAGTTGTTCCGCTTCATGTTATTTTCTTTGTGTATCTTGTTTCATTTTCTCTGTTTTTATGCCTTCCTCTATTAGCCGAATTTGGGCTTTCTCTAATGAGTTAATGCTATAAATATGAATAATTATATTTTAGAAAGTAATTATTAATATGTAGTATTATTTTATCTGAACATTATTTGCCGTTGTCTTTTAGGTGGTGGTGTATCATCTGCCATTCTGCCACTTCCATATTTTCCCTGACAGCTGTATCTCTTATCACTACAGGTGCAAATAATCCTGAATTGGAGTATTTATTTGTAGCCGTAAGTTATTCAGTATTATTTTCATATGTAATGATAAGGGTGATAGTGGATCATCCGGATTGGGTAACGGTTTAATACTGTCACCCAGTGCCGGCCCGAGGCAAGTTTCAGGATGGAGCGAGATTTTATTATTGCGCTCCCCTTGGTTCCCTCTAATTTATACCCTTTAATTTTTTTACAACTGAAATGTCCCCTAGGGCTTAGCGCCTGGAGCGTCTGCGTCGTTCGCCCTATGGTAAGGCTGGCTCTGTGCAGAAGGCCCTAGAAGATAGAACAGAAGGTGCAAAAATTAACGGAATAAGCATTAACAATCTTAGATATGCAGATGACACATTCTCGCTACAACAGAAAAAAAATCTACAAATAGTGTTAAATAAACTAGTATGAAAAAGTGAAGAAATGAGAGTCACAGTAAATACAAAGAAAACTAAGACAATGTACATAAGTAAAGTTAAGCACACAATAAAGATGAAATGCAAAGGGGAGAACCTCGAACAAGTAGATGTTTCTGTTATTTGGGGAAAAGATTTTATTCAGACAATAATGTGAGATTAGTAGTGGACCACGGGTTAATCCCAAAATGACCACTTACGCTGCAACAGTTGGATAAACCTGATCTCGGGGTCTTAGGATGGCTTTTTATCGAGTGGCGTCCCTCGCCACTCGATAAAACGCCATCCTAAGACTGAGGTCATAAGCCATTCTAAGGTGAGCAAGTCGGCAGGCGTCCTTTAGAGACAGGAGACAGGTTTAACAAAATACCAAAGCATTTATTGAATAATTAAATCTAAATTACAGGAATTCTAAGGTTAAATGCGGTTATATTAGAATATTTACAGAATACGGCGACTAATTTCGTGGCTATGTCGCTGACCTAATTTCTAGTTCGAGAGAGAGCGCTTTGACAAAATCAAAATACCCCAAGTACCCAAGTTTCTCAGTGAAAGGGAAAATTGGCGAACGTCGTCTGTATGGAAGGGTGTGGTGTCTTCGGTGTCTTTTCCGACAGACTTCTTCCGTGTGCGGACGCTCTTGAGCTTCCGGCGATCTCCCCTTTTTATATCCTTGTCGTGAGAAAGCTGACACATAATCGACTTTTGTTGACGATGACGCTGCATTCCTCACACCCAAGTGTAAACTTTCCCAGCTATTTACACATCGAATTTCACGGATTGTTATACAATCAATGAAATCCGATTTAGTTTCAAATTCTTCGGGTTTCTTCCGCAGATATTTACAATTGACAGAAAATTTGGAATTATAAGAGTCCCAAACTACACAATAATGTATCAAAGGAAATCCGAAGCAGAATTGGACAAGCTAAAGACAAGTTTAACCAGATGAAAAACATTCTGTGTGAAAAAAACTAAATCTACAATTAACACTAAAAACGCTAAAATGCTACATTTGGCCCATTTTGCTTTATGGATGTGTTGCATAGACACTACGAACAGATATGGAGAAGATAATTGAGGCCTTTGAGATGCGGGAAATCAGAAGAATGTTGAAGATCAAGTGGACTAGCAGAACCACGAATGACAGGGGTGTCACATATGGCAAATACTAAAAGACAATTAATAAAAATAATAAAGAGAAAAAACTAGCATACGGTGGACACATATTGAAAAAGGAAAAATATGGAATTTTCAAACTCACATTAGAAGGAATGATTCAGAAAAGAAGATCAAGGGAAAGAAGAAGACGAGGCTGCATGGATGAATTTAAGGACTGATAGGACTAGATACTGAAAAAATTATCCATAAGACTCACAATAGAGATTTGTGGTATTTGCTGGCCGCCAACCTCTCCTAGGAGAAGGCACAGGCAAAAGAAGATAGTCACGTAACTAGACAGGTGCAACGGATGCAACGGGGCCAGAAACAAAGAAGGCTTCGAAAAGGAGCATGCGGAAAAATTTATGGCTGGACATTTTGATGAATATTTAAAAATTTTAATAATATCATTTATATCACATTTGTTATCATATGTTTATAGTAAGAAGCAACCTGCATTATTCGGAAACAATCAGCATTAATATTTCCAAATTGGTCTTCTTAATGCCACTGCTGATGTAATCATCTCAATTGTAAATTTCTAATCCGACTTCTCATTTTTTAGTTTTAAAATTAAATCCTAAAGAAAACTGTAGGTTATTGTCGTCCCCTTTCAAACTCTCTGTTCTATTCTTATAGAGTTTGTAATTAATAAGAAGCCTTCTGTAATTTTCCATATGTTTTATTTCTGTGTTCAAATATCCTGTTGTACAACTTTCGTCGTCTTCCACGCTACGGTATAGCAATCAGTATCGCTTCAAAGTAGCCAAAACATCGGGAAGAAATTCATCAGTTTTGTTATCTAGTGAAGAGAATAATTCACTAAAAGATTCAGCAAAGTCACCGACCGACAAAAATAACAAGGCTTAAATAGACTCGGTGGTAATTGCATTTTTTTGCATCCATACACCAAGTCTGTTTAAGCGCCGTATTTCTCTCCACCAGAACTGCCCGAAACGGAAAGAGCATCCACAAAAGTTTGTATTTGAAGAGGCGCTTTCAGTCCACGTTCAGATCCTATTAATATCCGTCCTTTAATATACAATAGTGACGAAAAAAATTAAGATTAGTCTCATCTGCTTCACTGTAATGTCAAAAAAGCTTTGTTTTTGTACCTAGCGATACACTGTACTAAGGCATTAATTAATTGTAAGACTAAAACGTTTAAAAAAGCAACCTATTAACCGAGTTAATTTGGGAATGTTAATGCTGACTGTTTTCGAATAATGCAGGTTGTTTCTTAGTATTAACAGTATGATAACAAATGTGATATGCAAAATATCCAGCCACATCACAAATTTTTCAATCAGTTCCATTTTGAAGCCTTCTTCGTTTCAGGCACCGTTGCACCTGTTGCTTGTTTAGTTAAGTTTTGGCAACGCAACACTTGGGCGAATTACCTAAAAGAGAACACCTTTCGGAAGGTCTTTCTAAAAGTAACTGACTTTTATTCATTCGCTACAGGAAAGACGTAGAGAAAATACAGGATACTCCACGTGGCCAGTCTGTCTGGGGAGGCGCGAACCAATAATCGAACTCCCACTGTTCAAGAAACGGAAGCGCCTGGTCACTGGTGGTCCGGCACATGTTACACGTGTTCAGTTACGGAACTATAGAAACACTTAATACATCTGAATAAGTAATCTAATAAACCTGCTCGTTGAAATAAAACGAGTTACGTTATTGGTGTGATTATCAATCTGAATTAATGTCACTCTATCAGACAATACCTGTATTTTAACGCGAACATTTTCGTTAAGTTCGATGAATTTTTAACACAATTAATACATAATATAAGAAAATTTTATTTAAAAGCAATATTTTAAAATTATTTTCACAATTAAAAACCAGGGTATTGCTTGTACTTTCCTGCTGAACTCGATTCAGTAAACTAAACAATTATGTAAATTAATAATTTGTCATAATCCAGAAATATTATTAAATAATAATTAATTCCCATGTAAAACCGAACTAAAAATAAAACTGTTAATTATTAACAAAATATTCGAAATTAAATTCATTTATCACAAATACATTTAAAATATATTTATGATAATAAAGCAACGTTTTAACCAACACTTGAGAAGGTGAAACGTCGAGACTAGCCCTTGTATATAAAAAAGATTTGTGTAAGTATAAATATCACTTTCATTTATATTTTAAAATCAAATAATAATAATAATAAATTAACAATATCTTTCAAAAGAAAACTTTTCTGCTTTACTATTTACGTTTTTATTATTCGTTTATAAGTAAAAGAATTTTACGGTGTTTTAAATCTTGTAATAATTGAAAATTGGAGCTTTTAAGCACCATTTTAAGTAGCTAACAAAGCATTTATTCGCTTACTGCTGCTCTCCACTTTGAATGAATGCAGTAAAAGTGACTGCTTATACTTTCAGTTAAAGAAGAATATTTTTGAAATTGATTCTTAATTAGATCATTAATGATGAAAACTTTCAGACTTTTATAAAATTAATGTTGTAGCATGCATTTGGATCGTTTATTTTCCTCGATATTGCTGCACTTATCTTAAAGGGAATTTCGAAAAAATAATTCATCTAAAAAGTAATCAGAGATACTGAAAGACATTAAATACAATCAGATTAGACTGTGAATTCACTTGTAATGTTAGAAATAAAATAGATACTGTACTTCTAATGGTTTATATTGTTAGATGAGCACTGAGTTCGAATTTTTCAATATATTTTTTTCTTAGTTTACCTTTTGTAATTAGTTGTATTAAATAACCTTTTTCTAAAAAAAATTAATTAAAATTAATTGTTGTCAATTTCTTGTTACTAAAACTATAAAAATTTCGTTGTAAATTTCGCAGCCTCTTTAATCTAGCTCTTGTAAATCTCTATTTTTTCCATATCCATAGTGATGGTTGGTGAGGGTACTTTTTAACCATTTTCGCTTCATTGTACTTTATGTCACAGCCTTCCTATATCTGTGACATTGATGCTAAAATTGTATAATTATGGTTTATTTGTACATTGAATTTGTGTTCGTTGAGTCTCACTATAAGACACAAGGAATGTATGTGACCTCAACGTTATTTTTTTAGATCCCAATCTGTTAATTTTTGCATTGTATTTTGTATACTCCAGCCTGTTCTTTTTTAATTTGTTTTCGTCATTTCATAGCAAGTTGTAAATATCAATATTAGCTGTTTTGTAAACTATATTGGAGTTTTTGTACGTTACCAGCTATTATCCAACGGTTAGCTGAATGTAAATTTGTTGATTTTATCGATGTTTTTGGAGACATCTGTTTTCTTTATAACTCCATTCTATTTTTTCTCAAATTGAGTAAGTTCTATACTCTAAAGTTATCGTTTAAGTTTATTTTTATTTATTGTTAACATTATATTTTCCACAAGTTATTTAGTGAGTTTATTAACATTAAAAATTGTATTTAAAATTTAAATAAAATGTTTTATTCCTGAAACAGAATCTAAAAACGGTTGTAAGAAACCTGATGATAGCCAATAGGAGTACGCTCTAAACGTTAGTAATTGAAAATTTTCTCTTAGAAAATGCATATGTAGTAGTATATTTTTAATTTATTTTCTGCTTAGCACATTCGAACTGCATTTATGTTATATGCCTCGAATATCTCATTATTCATGCTATACTTAACAACTGATTTCCTTGAGATTATTACATTGTTGTTCCTTTGTCGAACCCTAATTAGTATAGATATACGGTTTAAAAATTAATGTTCGTAACTGAAATGCAGTTTGTCTTTTTTCACAGAGCCTTGAACTATAACAAAATGGAAGATAAATCGAACCGTCGCGCAACAGGTTCTGAAAAAAATCATGACAGAAGTAATGAACTTAAAGGTCACGAGTGCAAATTTTGCTCGATAACATTCCTGCCCGAACTATCAACGTATAAAGGACCTTTAACACAAACTTTCCAGGGACCGTTGATGTAACCCAGATCGTCACCAGCGCAAACTCTAGACAAATCAGGAATGCAAGATGAACCTTCTTCATCACAAATTTTAACGAAACCACGGATGCAAAAAGAACCTTCTTCAACACAAACTTTTCAAGAACCACGGATGCAAGCTGGATATTCTTCAACACAAATTGTAAAGGAACCACAGATGCAAAAACGATCATTCTCAACACACATGTTTTGGCAACCATTGATGCAAAGCAGATCTTCATCACAAACTGTGGAGGAACCGATGATGCAATTCGAATCGTCCTCAACTCAAACCCTAAACGAATCAGGGATGCAAGATGAACCTTCTCCATCACAAATTGTAAAGAAACCACGGATGCAAACAGAACCTTTTTCAACACAAACTTTCCAAGAACCACGGATGCAAACAGAATTTTTTTCAACACAAACTTTCCAAGAACCACGGATGCAAGCTGGATATTTATCAACACAAATTGTAAATGAACCACAGATGCAAAAACGATCATTCTCAACACACATGTTTTGGCAACCATTGATGCAAAGCAGATCTTCACCACAAACTGTGGAGGAACCGATGATGCAGTTCGGATCGTCCTCAACGCAAACCCTAAACGAATCAGAGATGCAAGATGAACCTTCTTCATCACAAATTGTAAAGAAACCACAGATGCAAACAGAACCATTTCAACAATAACCCTGGAGGACCAGAGATATAAGCGGTAATTTCATCCACTCTCCTTAGAGAAACTATCGATGCAGATAGAACTTTACATATATGCACTTCTTCAGAAATTTTTGACGTAAGCAGGTTTTGCTATTACTGCAATTTTGCTAGAATTATTTATGATAACAGGATTTTGGTTAATTTCAATGCTTCACAAACTATTAATGCGAATAAAACCTTCTAAAATACCAACTCTGATAAAAACACGAATGTAAGAAAGAGATGCAACCAAGATCTCCAGCACAAACTCTGCCTACCATTCGTTATTCGTTTATTGATCTTCAGCTCGAACTTCGAGTAAAGAAGAGGTTTATGCAGGTCTTTTCTGTACTGAAATTTCGGAAAAAAGAGCGATGCAAGAGTTGTTTTCAACTAAATCATCACAGTTAGTAAAACCTCCTACTCAAATTCTTTTCAGTTTCCGTGATTCGTTTGCTTCTTCTTTAACACAAATGTCGGATAAAAAGGGAAAGCAACCTGACCAACTTAAATCCTTAGATTAGAAGCAAGCAGGACTTTACTGATATTTCGGGGAGAGATGTGATTCAAGAAGGATCTTCTTCATTTGAAGCTTCGGAAAAAGCATGCCTTGACGAACATTATCCAGTTTTCTTGATTCGTCTTCAACTCAAACTTTGGATAAAGAAAATTTTCAAGGAGGATTTTTTACCCACATCCATCATGACGAACAAGTGGAATGGAGAAGTTCTACCTAACCCCGACTAACTTTCTGTGTTTTGCTTCAGCGATCTCAAACGCAATCGCCGAGTAAAGAAGGGAAAAATGAAGGTGAAAATAAATAAAAGAGATCTGTACAAGTTTGAAAACAAAATCCGACTAAATCATCAATTTTAAAATTATTACGAATTAAGTGTGTTATAAATTTATGTAACTAAACGAAATTATTCGTGTTAAAATAAAAGCATGGTCTGTTTATTTGTTTGTTTGTTTGTTAGGTTATGTCACTGCAACTCTTAGGCGATCTCTAGGTGGTTGCTTTTACGGAGGTTTTTTAGGGTAACTGGCCTCTTATCAGGCATTCCTAACGTGGAGATAACTCGGAAAACTTTACGTGGCCAGACAGACCTGGAGAAACACGAACCCACAACTGAACTCCTACTATTCAGGATACGAAATCGCTTGGCAACTGGTGGGCCCGTTGTCTGATACAGCGACAATAATTCGGATGGATAATCTCACCAATAACGTAACTCGTTTCATTTCAAACTAGCTGTTTTATTAGATCATTTATCCAAATGTATTAAATCGCTGTGTATTCCTGACTCTGGACGAGTGCAACAGGTGGAAAGGGCCTGAAACGAAAAAGGCTTCCAAATGGAACTGGCGGAAAAATTTGTGGCTGAACATTTTGCCGAAAATTAAATCTTAACTAAATAATTTTAGGAAATTTCAATAAAATTAATTACATCACATTTTTATCATACTGTTAATAGTAAAATACAATCTGCATTATTGAAAAACAATCGGCATTAACATTTCCAAATCAAGTACTGGATGGTATATTGCTCTTTCAAAGCTTCTTGGTCATATAATTAATTAATGCCTTAGTATACTATATCGCGAGGTACAAAAGCAAAGTTACCGACATCGCCGTGAAGCGGATGGGACTAATCTAAATTTTGTTTTAGTCTCTACTGAATATTAAAGGCGGATATTAACAGAAGCTTAACGTGAACGGAAAGAGCATCCTCAAATGCAAATTTGAGAGCCCGGATTTAAGATTCTAATATTTTTACTCATTAGGTTAAAAGTTAGGGTTAACTCCAAACGAGAAAAACAACCGACAAATTTTCTCATAAAATTTCTTCATAAAACACTGTTCCCACGGGGATACTTCCTTGTGGAAGATGAGTTAACAGTTGTGTCATAAATTTGTCACTTCGTCCACAATTGGTCAAAGAAGATCATCACCTGTGACTTACACGAGGAAATCTCAAAAACAGAGCCCCCCCCCCATATAAAGGCAAGTGCGATCACGACACAAGGGGGAAAAAATAAGTTTTTTTTCTATATGTGTGCGTGTGTTCCCGTGGATTTACTTGCCTCTCGTCGCCACCGTCTTCCATAGACTTTGAACTTTGACTTCGAACTTTGAACTGATTTGAACTTTGAACTTGGACGGACGAACCTCGGATCAACGTTATAACGACATAATTAGAGGTATTTATTCTACTCGCGAGAGTATGTAAGCTCTCTCTCTCGACTCTTTCCAACTTGCGATTAGGGTCGCGACTGATTTATATTTTGTCCGCTATCAAACCCGAAACCTATGAATTACGGATTGAAAATCCCGAGAGGGAACTGTAACCTCGATTCCTGAATTAATTATTAATTTAAAATGTTCAACAATAAACGGGTATATTGTTAATGAACTTAGATTGGTGTGCGTTTTTTCCGACATTATTATCTCCATACTGAACCCAAAGTCCTCGACGAGATCGGTCGTGATAATTCCTCCTCAAATTAAACGAGTATCTATCCGCAAGGAAATAATAGATTGGTGTCACATCCTGACCTGAAATAAGGATCTAGCGATCCTTAACTTTAAAACCCTTCCGCTCAAAAGAACCCATCCTTTAGACAAGCGAGACCAAACCTCAAGGTCTTGTCGAATAAGCGGTAGGAGAGTCAAGAACTCGTAAACATCCTACCCCCGATTAGTCTCACACAAACATTTGTGGATGCTTTTTCCGTTTCTGGCAGTGCTTGTGCAGAGAAATACAACGGTTGAACAGACTTGGTATATGAATGTAAAAAAAAATGCAATTAACGTAAAATCTATTCAAGCTTTATTATTATTTATCAGTTGGAAAGTTTGCTGAAACTTTTAGTGAATTATTGTAATTACTAGATGACAAAACTGGTGAATCTCTGTCTGATATTTGGATACTTTAAAGGTTTACTGTAGTGTAACATGGAAGACGATGAAGTCCACATTTGAACCCAGAAATAAAACATAGGAAAAACCACAGGCGGCTTTTCACGGACTACAAACTCTATAAGAATGGCATGAAGAATTTGAACACAGGACGACAATAACCCACACTTTTATTTAAGGTTTAGTATTAAAACTAAAAAAAGTAGTTAGATTATGAATTGACAATTAAGATGGCAACATTAGCTGTGGCATTTAGAAAACTGAAGAACTAGATACACCTATTTGCATGAAACATCGGTTCCTACAAAGTCCAATTTTTTCATCATCTCTAAAGACAACTAGTATTGCCACAAAGACCACTAAAGTAAACATGTTTCGCAAACATAGATGATGAGACTGGTGATGAGCGGAGTATACCGCAATATAAAGCTCAATTATCTTACCCACCACATCAAATAAACAGGCACATCGTGGTGGTCCTGTAAGACAATTGTACACTATACTTGTTCGGTTTGAATGTCAATAAATTACGTTTATTGATAGTTTATTGCATTTGAAAATATTTATATGGATTTTTTTTTATAAATTACAGTATATGCCCTGTACACTATACTTTTTCTTTATCAATAGAGTCGTGCCTGTCATCTATCTAATACGTTATGAAAAAAGTTTTTGAATTGATATAACATGACTTTCGGTTCTAATAACGGTACGAAGACTGATTTATTTCTGTACAGCACGTTCCGATATGTCTTCCCATACGGACGAATTAATGCCTTTTCGTTATGTTTCTAATGATTCGTTTTGCAGCTTCATTTGTAATTAAAAAATCCAATTTTCGTTTCAGCAGAAGTTTATGAGGTTTTACTGTTTGTAGTTGTTTTATTGTAAGGATAGATATATTTTTACCGTTTGTACTATGGGAAAGTTATTTCTGTCCCGTAGTTTTGATGTGTGTATGTCTCCGTTTTGAAACCATCGTTGAGGTTGATGTTGCTTTATTTCGGTGTTTTAGTCGAAAAAAAACAGAGAAATGAGGTTGAGATTAAGTTGAAGGGCCTGATTGCATTTATTCTGTCTGCAAGATTTTAACAAATGGTTTCGCTTTACTCTCTCCTTTTTTCAGATTTTGAATTGTAGAAAACGTAAGGGGCACGGACACTGAACAGAGTTTGAGTTAAACGTACTGCTTGCATCTATTCTTGCTCCAATGTTGCAGTTGATGAAGTACTTCCTGAATTCAATGTTTCTCTATGAATTAGGTAGAAAATTGCTTGCTGCCGTTCTTCCTGCAAGATTTCAGTTTAGGAAGCTCTCGCTTCTATTTGTAGTTCCTACAGGGATTTTACTGAAGAAGGTTTTGTTTGCATTAATAGTTCTGGGGTTTGATTTGAGGAATGAAGTGTACAGTCCAATTTATAGGAACCGGTACATTGCTCTCGACAACATTTTTACTACATTATTTTCGTCGCGAAGAATGAAAATTTCCAAAATTCATAGCCCAGAACTTATGTAACGAAGGATATCTTTTTACATTCATATGCTTCAATTCGTATAGACGAAGTACCAACACACTTACAATGACAGCTCTCCATGATTGAATTCTTTAAGAATTTTTGTTTAACTCCATAGAGAATAAGAGAAAACTTAGTATTAACAAGTAGTTTGAGATTTGACCGTTGAAATATTTAAAACGGAGAATGCGATCAAAGTATTTTAAGCGATCTGTAAAATAAGGAAGACCAAGGCGAACTCTTGCTACATCGTGGTTATCAATATAGGGTATATTGCAAAATTTATATATCAGAAAATAAATAATTTTAAAATACAGTCGGCCCCCTATAACACTGTTGATTATTCCGTTTTGTATGTATTACATGTTGTACAATTCACTTTGATTTTACAAATACGTGAGCCGTTCACAGCCCAGCACATGTATTTGTAAAATCTAAGTGACTGTCTTTAAGTGTATTTTTCTTGCTACAAAGATTTCTTGAAGCTAAGAAATTAATGCTAAAATAGTCGCTTTGGTTTGTAAAGCGACTGTAATACTGTTAGATAAGCAGGTCATTGACGTAGTGTTAGAAATTCGTGTATGAAGGAATACTCGGTACACGAATAGACAGGAAACTCTTTACTAGAAAAAAAGTAAGTATTATTAAAACGAAAAAAAGTACAAATATATGTTAAAAAGAAGCTCCGGTTCGTTTGAGTGATGTTTTCGCTTATTATCAATACCGGACGGGTCAAGCCACGTGTCGAGGATAATACTATTTACATAAAAATTTGAAAATGAAATCTGTACATAAAAATTTGAAAATGGAATACATTAACATATTTACTGTTAATGTACTAAATAATTGGGACATGTGTTTTATTGAAATAAAAGTGTTTGAATGGGTCACATTACTCAAAATCCCTTTGTGGATGAAGGTAGAGGAAAGCTTTATTTTTATTTCGAATCATCGGTCTGTAAATATACTCGACAGTGAATTATTTGATGAAGTTTCGTGTGTAAAAAAATATGTCACAAACGAAAAGATCGACGAATGGCGACAGAATAACAAGCCCTGCCATCAAAAGTGGGTTGAGATTTTTGAACATTTTACAGCAAAAGAAATTGCTTTCGAAAATATTTGTAAAATCGTAGAATTTTCTTTCTGTCTCCTTGGATCTAATGCCTTGTTAAATGAATATTTTCATTGGTGAATAATATGTGGACGAATGAAAAAATCCATTTAAAAGCACATTATTTCTGTCAAATACAACTTTCAAATGAACTGTATAAAATTTTATGACTTTAAAGCGTGAACCAGTGCTATTTAAAAAAATTAATTTTACTGAAAAGTATCAAANATTTTCATTGGTGAATAATATGTGGACGAATGAAAAAATCCATTTAAAAGCACATTATTTCTGTCAAATACAACTTTCAAATGAACTGTATAAAATTTTATGACTTTAAAGCGTGAACCAGTGCTATTTAAAAAAATTAATTTTACTGAAAAGTATCAAAATTAATGTTATTTGAATTTTTACAATGTGTATGTATGTGTAATGTTATAAACTTATGAATTTTACAAGATTTTTTTTTATTTTCTTAAATATGTCCTTTATTTTCCCCCAAAAATATAGTCACTGTAAGCATACTGCACAGATTTTTGCAACGATGGGCCATCCGCCTTCCCCCAGAGCGACAGTAGACTAGTTTAACCATCGACGATTGCGTAGCAGCTTGGGATTTCCAAAATATTTACCCGCCGTTAAACTGCAACATTGCAGTGAAGCTTATGACGTTTAATTAATGCAATGTATCGAATAACGCATTGCATCAAACGTAATTCGAAATTTCACATAACACACAACAAATTTAACCAATTAGCATCTCCTCTCAGATCTTATAGTCAAAAATCCCCAATAAGATTGTTAATAAATTTCACTGTTAATAAGTAATACAATATACATACAGTACAATGTAATCGGTTTCCGTTTTGTCTATGATGATACACAACTATGGATCATTACGAGTAAAGATTACAACTTCGGTTGTGTTTTTACATAGGATAATTATAACAACACTAAACGAGTTATTTGTGATTAAGGAAGACGGGTTCTACCAAACTAAATGATACACATACTTATGATAATATATTTTAAATTTAAATTTATTAAATTAAAAAATAATTTTACAAAACCTTTCTTGTTCACTTCCATAACATCAAATGTATTTTACAAAATGTAAAAATTACAAATGAAAAAAATAAAACTTCAAACATTTCTTGTTTTAATGTTAAATAAAATCTAAATACAAATATTAAAAAGAAAAAATACTTTTGTTAACATTTTCTTCGTAACAAATACTGTTATTCATTATCATTACGATATTTAATAATATAATTTAAATTACGTTTAAAACAAAACTTTTGTAAGCACTAAGTACACGATAACGGCTTTTACTCCGAATGAGTTCGCAGATGTAGAATCAGAGTTGTTTTCAGTGTAAAACTTCGTTTGCATTGATCACAGGTAAAGGGTTTCTCCCCTGTGTGAGTACGCAGATGATCAATCAAATTTTTTTTCAGTGTAAAACTTCGTTTGCATTGATCACAGGTAAAGGGTTTCTCCCCTGTGTGAGTACGCAGATGATCAACCAAAACATGTTTGTATGTGAAACTTCGTTTGCAATGGTCACAAGTGAAAGGTTTCTCCCCGGTATGAGTCTTGACGTGGTTACATAGACTGCTGGAATACTTGAACTGACGAGTACAGAATTTGCAAGACAACAGCCCTTCTCCGGTGTGAATCCTTTGATGACATTTTAAATTATACTTCGAAGCGAATTCTTTCTCGCAACTGTCACATCGATACTTCCCATTCTTTCTCTTCTGGAGGTTTAAACCTGTAAAATACGAGAAATTTTAAAACCTAATAATCAAAACTCCCTTCAATTTATTGTCAATCAAATATCTAAATTTAAGCGTTCTAATTATAAAGAACTGTTAAAGTTTTGAGTACAGATAGAAAAAGACTTTTCTTTCTATCAAATTTCTTTAAACTAAAATTTAAACCTTACAATTAACTGGACGACATCATATCACACTTTAGATCACACATAAACTCCTTACGCCGGTATTCACAAATATTAGCAAACACGTACAAATACAATACAATCACAAATTAACGTAATTTATACATTTTTTCAAAACAATTTATATGAAATATTATAACATATTCGAAAATAATTTAAAATATCTTCTTAATTTTTCTCTTTTTCTTCATTTGCGGGAAAGATGGTCTCTTTGTTGTTATATTCTTGTGTAGTTTCCTAACACTGGCTTCAATTTTAGTGTTTCGTTAACAACAGAATTCGAACACATCCTTCAGCAGTTTTCGTGTGTCCCCGGAAACCATTCTCTATTACAAAGATGTTCTTTATTGGTTGAAAGTGAATCTGAAAATAACAAAGTTCGGAATGAAATCAGATACGAGAATTACGTCATACATTATTTTATATAACAATTGAAATAATTTTAGAAATTCTTTCTTGGACACGTCACGCCACAAAATTAAAGCCGGGTTCGAAATCTAAAAAGTAAACGAATTCGAATTAATTTTTTTTCTCTAGGAATACGTATGAAGTACATTGATAGAATAATATTAATTATTAATACGATCTTTAAATAGTTTTATCTAAATGTTTAGAAATAAGTACATCAGATAATACCGTGTTTTGCGAAGACCCTTTCCTTTCATTTTCGTACTTACAGCTTTGATTGTTTTTATAATTTCAAATTCTTCAATAATTTCTAACCTTTTCTCGAAAATTGTGATTTGAAAAATGCTGGAGAAAAAATGACAGATCTACTTACGTTCGTTGACATTAAGTCAAGAAACTTCAGTCCACGAAGAGACTTATAGCACTTTCAATACTCTTTACCACACTCCACAAGCCAAACTCTAGATCCATTCGATATTTCGCGAAATGTTACCCGAGAAATCGTCTTCAGTTTCTGAGGAAATCGTGCTTCTTTTTTTCCTTTCTAATATAATCGTCAAAGAGATTTTCTTCTTCGAATCGACACTACAAATAATCATTTTAAATATAAGTAAGTGTACAATAAAATGGCTAGAAAATATTATGTCGGAATCGAGCTTATTTGCTTTCTTTTTATTGGAGGTTACGGTAAGAGGCGCTGCTGTCAATCGTTGCGCTACACTGGCTGTATCATTCTACGTTTATATTGGTTTTATGTGGGATTTTTAATCAGAGTAATGCGCTGTAGTTAAGTAAAAGAATTTAGATCGATAATAAATCATATCTGGAGCAATCAATTTACATCATTACTTTATTATTTGATATAATCTATTATTTACAATAGTACTATTTTATTAACATTTATACGTGAAGGAATTCGATTAATGCTAATTAAGATTCTTTTTAAATCAAATAGCCTACACTTTATTGTCTGTTTTTTTCATTACAACTGTCGAGTACTGTACGAACAAGTATTATTTAAAGTACAAGAGTAATCTACTCTTGTTATTAATTAATAATAACGTTTATTCATATTTACTAAAAATCTACAAAATTTTTCGTGTTTTTAAAGCCAAACAAAATGTTTGATTCTAGTTCTGTCTCTGTTGTAGCACCATTGCATATCTTCAACTTATATGCATTTTCAATAATATCCTCAGCTCGCTGCAAAGAAATTGTTGAAATATTTTCAAATTGAACACCCTCGATATATATTTTGCACGAAAATACATCTTCGTACTGTGCAAAAGTCACTAACTTAGATGCGTTTAGAGTAGCACTATTGTTTTTTTAACACTAGCTCATTTTCTGCGTACACAATTAAATTAGATTCATTTTTAAAGGGCACCTTATCCAGAAATCCGGCACTTTTAGCCTTTCAAAATCTTTAAGCCGAAGGGACGAAGACGACGAGGACAATTCTGGCTCGATATGTAATTCCTGCGAAGAGAGAATAGGAGAGTCGACCGTCTTCTTCTTGTTTGTGTTATTAAATTTCTGTTTGATCTTCCGAAACTTTGACCTATCGATCCGAAGTTTCGACAGCGTCTCATCGATAACCAAAATGACTTAACTTTAAAATATGAACTTTCTAGACCCAGTAGTTTTTTTCTACGAGCGTGTGCAGTGCCGTAAGAAGAAAATTAAGAAAAAGAAAATACAGATTTTTTTGGCGATTTTTGCGCTTTTCAATGGCTTATAGAAAACTAGTAGCTCGGGACGCCCCCTAGTGGGCGTTCTTTACAAACTTCCATGAGGCGCGGTTCCTTTGACTTTTTTGTTCCTATCAATATGCTCTACAGCGCTGTTAAAGTCCGAATGGTAAGATTTACTCTCCGAATGAAGAGTTGGCGACCCCCGCAAACCGTAGACCCGTGAACTAACAATAAAGTCAAAGGAACCATACCCCTACTCGCGACCCTTCGAGAGATATAAGCTCCTGAAATAATAAATTTCTATTACAAATATACTGAATTATTTATATTGTTATATTGACCAAATAATAATTTATTGGCCAAACGGATAATAAAAATTTATATTGTTAATTTAAATAAGAATTAAAATTGTTAATTTGAATGTTTGAAATATGACACACGATAGGGGCGCCTCTAGTGTCCGTTATCAAACGGTTACGGGACGGACAGACGGATACCCGTTGAATGGGTTATATATATAGATGCAGTCATTTTGCAAATTATCGAAGAAAACAATTATATTTCGAACGAGAATTTCGGAATTACTTCGAGTGTTTGGGGCAAAGAAATCGACCCC